ATTGTATTTCAGAGATGAATTTCAATCATCTGCTTTTATCCAGGAAGTTGTTTGGTTGGGTTTGGGTTTGGGATTTTTAGGAGTTTGTGCTTTTCACTTTCATTTCTCAGGGATCTGTGAAGTATGGGCTCTTCTCTGCTCACCTAACAAACGTTCCTCAACAGCTGTCCCAGACCCACTGTGGAAGGACTAAAGGAACCTACAGGAAAGCAAACAAAGAATACTCTCCACTTCACTGTGGTGTGTCTGTCTTCTCTCTTTCAGTCACCTTATCTGACCCAACTTTTAATACTGTCAGGATTGAACCTACACCCGACAGCATTTGGTTCCATCTTCCTCTTCCCAGAGCTTTCTAAATAGTTTCTAAATAGTTTCCTCTGTTTTGCAATGATCTGGTGAAAGAGAAAACTGTTACATGAAAAATCAGAATTAGAAGCAGAAGATGAGTAAATAGGTTCAGAGCAAGGAGCTGAGGACATATTCCATCCATAAACGACTTCCTGTGATCTATAATGCGTGGACGTTGGTCTGTCCATTTTGATTGCTTAGAGATTTCCTTCTGACCCTCTTCCAAAATTCTGGAGTATATTCTGTCTTCATTTTGGATAATTAAGATCTGTGGACCTGTGGACCCATTTATAAACTGTTTTAACATTTTAGCTTCCCCCATTAAGGGAAGAAACAATGACCAGCAATGTGGCTGACATTCCATTCTGCACCCAGCTAGAGAATCCATTAGAATGGCTCCCACCACTCACTCCGTGATGGAGAAATCAGGGCTGCCCAGTGTAATGAGACGACACCAGACATCATAAGCGAACATGCTCACGACAGTAGCCGACAGTCCCAGGCTGCCATCGTGTTTTCCAAGGAAACCGGAACCATCTTAATCATGCCTGCCAGGGAAGAAATTCTCTTCTCTCTCTCTCTCTCTCTTTTTTTTTCCCCAAGACATATTTCCCCAGTATCATTTAAACATATTAAATCACTGTTAGTACGCAGAGTGGGCATCATGTTAGCATAAGATCTAATCAGAGCGCGTCTGCAGGTCTCCAAAGGCTTTATTCTTTTTGTCTCTTTCCTCTGTTTTCTTGTTAGACTGAAGAGCCTTTTTTGACATCCTCATTTGTTCTGCTGTGTAATAGCATGGGATCTCTCAGAGCTGTCGACATCTGCTCCACTCTAGAGAGCTGCAGAACCAAGCCAGCAGAGCAATCATAATTATGCCCGAATGGGCTGAAAAGGATACAGGAGACGAGAAGGAAGACAAGAAAAAATACGCCCAGGTCATCGTGTTCTAGCCTGTGAGAGTGTGTGTGTGTGTGTGTGTGTGTGTGTGTGTGTGTTTGTGACCTCTGTGAGCGTGGGTGAGTGTGTGTGTGTGTATGCACAGGTACTGAGGCCATACACTTCCTTGTGTGCACTGGAGACACAAATCATTTTTCTGAGAGTGGTAGGCTGGAGATTGGTGAGACTCAGAGTCCTCCAAATTTCCTAGCCTTTCCTCGTTCCCCAGAAGGCTATTCTTAACATGGGTGCTTCTCTCCATGTGTGCAATAATGGTTTGCAGGACACTGAAGAGAGGAGCCTTTCTCCTCCTGTCCTTGATGCTTGCATGCAGCCGGGTAAGGAAGGCTGCAGATGTGTCTTCTTTGCTGGATGCCACTCTCTGGGGCTAAATTAGGCACAATGGGAATATGTTGTAGTCTTCCTGATTGTCAAGACACTGGTTATCAAATAACGAGTCTACCAGCCTAATACTAATATTCAAAACAGCAGCTGGCATCTATTGAATGCCTAATGTTTACCAGGCATTGTGTATGCCCTTCGTGTGTATTATCATTCATCCTTCAAGACCTCTGCAAGCTAGGAGTTTCTATCATTCCTACTTTAAGAGGAAAAAAATTAGGATTAGCCCATATTCCCAGAGGCCCTGCTTGCACATTAAGAGAACCTGGTTTCTCAAGCCTGGGGTTATACAAGAACAAAAGACTTGTCATGTCATTCCTCTGTGATTCTTCAGTAAAGCAGCCAGGCTGCTCAGTGACATACTTACTCAGTTCCAAGAAACAACTCGTTAGTTCAATGAAGATAATTGAAGTAAAACAAGACCCCCAAATCACAGAGCCCAGATTTTTTTTTTTTTAATGCTGGGATAAGAGACTATTTTGCAGAAACTAAGCATCTTATCTGGGCCTTGTTTCTTGAGGCCAGTCAGGGCCCTGAGTGAGTCGCCCCTGCCTGAGTCTCAATCCTGAATAACAACATTTCAATGGCCCTCAGCAAAGGTAGGAAGTAGATGAGGCTCATCATGGAGAGCAGATCCTGCCCTCCTGTGCCTTCCACCTCCCCCAATCTGATTCCCATTCTAGCACTGCTTCATAACTTAAACCATAGCACTCTCCTAACATCCCTTACCTCTTTAGGACTTCAACTTAGAAGGCCTAGTGACTCATACTCTAAAATGAGCCTTCTTGAAAAGATTCATTGCAACTAGAGAACATACCTAAAGTGGATCCAAGTGTTATATCTCCTGTGGAGCTAATAAGATAGCTGGGAAGATCTCTGTAAGCCAGCTTTACATCACTGTGACAAAACACCAGAGATAAACAACCTAAAAGGAGGAGAGGTCTATTTCAGAGATTTCAGTACATGGTGACTTGGCCCTGTTGCTTTGGGCCCATCGTAGCACAGTACTTCATGGTGGGAGAGTGGCAGAGGAGGCTGGTTCACTTCACATGGCCAAGAATAGAGAGTCAGGAAGGGGCCAGGATTCCCCTCAAAAGCACATCCCACAGTGACTTACCCTCCTTCCACTAGGCCCCACCTCCTAGTGAAAGGTGTCACCACCTTCCCATAGCAGCACGACCTGGTGACCCAGCGTTTAACTAATGGGCACTTGGAGGACATTCAGGATCCCAACTATAACGGTTCCCATGGTATTTTTTATCATCCTGCTCCTATAGAAATAGGAAGGAGCCCATTGGCACCTACTTGTTTGGCTGGATCGTGGTGGGGATGGAATAACAAGAAACAGAGATATAGAACTTTGCACAGGGGTCATGCCCGGGAGTTGACAGCCAAGTTTTGCATGGGAAACATTTCACAAAGTTCACATGAAACACTCAATGAGGCTTTAAGGGGTGAAAGGGAGGAAAAGACTGATCTAAACAATTAAAAGAAAAAAAAGGAAGCAGGATCACTCTGGGGGTGTGTGTGGGGGGGATGGCAACACCATGTCTGTCAGCAGCTGTGCTGCTGAAAGTCACCCAACGGGAAGATCAGGCAGCCAGCGAGATGGAAACTGCCAGGGCAATAAAGCGTCAGGAGAGCCAGGGCTGATTTGTACTGCAGAGAAAACTGGAGCACACCTGAGACCAAGGAGTCGTTGGTCCCTCGCCACATGACCCGAGCATCAGCACACATATTGTCAGGCCCAACTTGGTCCCGAATTAACATTAATGAACATCAACGATCACACCATGCTTATAAACGGTCCTCACATGATCACAAGGGGTCCCCGGGTGAAATGCACTCAGCTAACCAAGACATGTGACATGTTCCAGGAACCTTTGCGGGGTTGGTCTTTCAATGCAATAAAAACCTTTCTACCTCCCTAGAAAGTTCTACACCGTACAAGGACTCTTAACAACAAATGAGGAAAGTTCATAAGGTCTTGGGGTTGGGATTGTGGCTCAGTGGCGGAGCGCTTGCCTCGCCCATGTGAGGCGCTAGGTTCGATCCTCAGCACCACATAAAAATAAATATATAAAAAAATAAAAAACAAAGGAATTCATAAGGTCTTTGGAAAACTCTACATTGCCTTCCTGAGTTAGTCATGTAGATCCAGCAGATGAGTTAGAAAAATGCATTCAGGGTCCCTCCCCTGGCCTCTGCATCAAGATGGAGAGGCCTTTGAGACTCTCAGGGTGAGTGGACACCGTGCCTGTGTCCTCTGTATTGGGAGGTATACAGGTGTGTGCAAAGCAGACCCTGACATCCCCCCTTGCAGCCAAAGGCCACTGCCTGGCTCAAGTCCATCCAGATCAGCAAATCTGCACAGTGGATCTCTGTGGGGACTGCTGCTCTTGATTTAATTAATAGTTTGTTTGTTTGCATAAATTTCCTCAGGAAAGGACTATTAGCACATCAGGACGATGTTAAAAAGTATCCTCAGTAATGATAGAATAAATGCAAACCTAGTTTATCACTTTTGTCAGTTTTAACAAACACCACTCCAATGTGCTAACCTTTCCCAGGGAGGCAATCTGCGTAAGTCAATAACCAGCCACTCTGGGAGAGTTAAGGCAAGTGCAGCTCATGAACTAGCCAACATGACTTCTAGATGTGCATATGTTTTTTAATTCCAAAAATTCTGAAAAAAATGCTAGAAATCTGTGCTTGACTTTTCTTTCCTCCTTCTCTCCAGGGAAAATCTCTTGCTGAAAACCTGCCAGAGCAGACTACTTTTCTTGGCATCTCAAGGGATCATTTTGGAAAATGTTTTGAGAACACTAATTTTCATAACACTCTGGGGAAAGAAAAAAAAAGGGCCATTTTTACAAAGTTAAGGGTTTCTGTACACCCCGTTTCAGCCTTACCTCTCAAACAGGGAGAAAGCAAATCTCCTTTAATGTGTGGGAGCCACCCGAGGTTCAAATCAAGAAAGAAAATGTTCCTGAAGGTAGAAAGCCGAGAATGAGAGACTCTGGGAGAGCTCCTCAGTGGCTTGGGACACCCCAAGGCTCAGGTTACCAACAACCCGCGGCTGAGGATAGAGGAGCTCAGTGGTAGAGTTGTCTAGCACATGCAAAGTCCTGGGTTGGATCTCCAGCACTGCAAAAAATGAACACAGCAAACAACCAAAGCCCGTATCATGTAAGCTTTCGGTAGAATTGGGAAAGTTTTCTTTCTCCAAAAGTATACTGTGCAAAATCCCCTCTAATCTTTTCTAGCAGCTAAGGTCTGGGGGCTATTTTCAATAACTAAACTTTAACTCCTTTAGTTAAAAAAAAAAATTATTTATTTTAGTCCTGTAAATCAAGCCTTGTTTTCTGAGACAGAAGATACTGAACATAATTTAAAATTTTTTTTTAATGGTCATCAGTCGGCAAGTATGACCCTGGTGGCGTATTACTTGGAACATGGAGAAGTAAGTTCAGAAATTACTAAAACATCCTTAAGAAGCAACCAGAATGACTTCTGAAATAGAAGGAGGTTATTTTCATTTGCATCTCCTACATCTGTTTCCACTTCTTCTTATCCAGACTCTGATTATGTCTGGCATTCCTCCCCAAGGAAGCTCCTGTGCCTGTGGGGAACCCTCCCCAAACCCTACCCCCACCTGCCACTGGCCCAGAGGGGACTGTTCAGTCATCTCAGCCCACACTGGTGGTTGGTTCCGAAATGATCATGTGATAGCTCAGGCAAACGAGGTGCTGGGGAAAAGTTTCTGGTTCCTCAGAGATGCCACAGGAAGAGTCTCTCTGGACTTTGCTGTTCCTGGCTGTGAGGTCAACTGCTACAGCTGTCCTACTCCTGGGCCGAGGATAAAGCTGTAAGTAGGAAGAGGACAGAGTGGGAAGAACTGAAGTAGTTGGGGGTCTGAGTCCCCAACCCCATCATCCTTGAAGCTTGACATTCCTCTGGACTTCAGTTTTATGAGCCATACGTGATCTGATCTTAGGCCAGTTTCAGTGCCTGTTACTTGCACATAACAGATTCTTAAATAGAAGTTCTTAATAACTGAGAACTTCTAAATAGAACTAATAATGAAGATGAAGAAAAAATGTCTATATGAAGAACAAATGTAGCATGAACTACTGGGTGAAAAGGTGAGAAACTGTATTTTGATATGACTAAGCACTTCTTCAGGATAAATGACCAAGCTGTGAAACAGTTCAGCACCCAACTTGGAGCAAGGCATTGTCACCATCCAGGATAGTTTGAAAAGGATCAGGTAAATTAACATGTTAGGAACAGGTATGACTGTGGCCGTACTCAGCATAGGACTTTTTGAAAAGAGTGAAGTAGATGCAACCAGTTTAAAATGGCTTTCCAGAGGCCTGGACAAGAAAACCAGAGACTGTTCTAGAAGCTTTAAGAATGATAATATAGTTCCAAATGGAGGTCCAAGGACTGGACAATGGCCAGTGTAATTTGTAGAAGGAAGGATCCGTTTAGTGAATAAATAAAAGAGGAAGAATTCAAGGAATTGGCAAAGTGCTTCTTCCCCATCTGAAACGGTTCCCCAAATGCCTGATGTTTGGATTATGGTAACACAGGAATATTTAACAAGAGATGAAAAAGTTTAAATGCAAATTTCCATTGGAACACTAATGTGGTACTAAAAATCTGGTCACTCAAAAGGGAACACTAGTTTACTTTCTGTCTCATTAGCCCCGGGATATAAAATTTCTAAGGCCAAGGTTATTTGTGTCTTATACATTGCCTTATTCCTGGCTGAGGAAATGGCGCCTAATTCATAGTATATGCAAAATAGGCATTTGTGCATGAACAAAATGAATCATACATATCTGAGTTTTTTTATCAAATTTATTGTTGTTGTTCTTGTTGATGAAACTTTATTTTATTTATTTATTTATATGTGGTGCTGAGAATCAAACCCAGTGCCTCACACATGCTAGACTGCTGTCTTTTTCTACTCTAACATCTATCAGGTGGTATCAGAATAGCTGCAGGCACTTTGGGGTGCTGGATAAGGCAAGCGGAATTGGAGATGTATTATTTTGGGTTTAGTGGTATTTATTTATGTGATTCCTAGTCACTTGTACGGGTAAAGATTTCAATGCATTCTGTTGTAGGAATGGTTTTCATCAAAATTCCATGCACTCACTCTGGAAACTCACCTGGTATTATTCCACAGAGTGACCCATCTACATCTTATATCACAATTGAATATTTCACAGACTCTAGTAGAAGAGAATCAAAGTTTGAAATGGATGAATCCAGAAGCTAGTCTGTGAAAAATTCTTTCCAATCAATTCTAACAGAGGATTTATTTAATTTATTTATTGATTTCGTGCTGGGAATCGAACCCAGGGTCTTGTGCATGCTAGGCACACACTCTACCACTGAGCTACACCCCTAGCCCCAGGAGATTTAATTTTTATGGACACCTAATCAAAACAGAGTTTTTCCCAATTGGGAATACATAGGAAGATGCAGCAGTTCACTATTGTGTTTCTGTAGCATAAAATAAAATGTATTTTTTATGGATTTGCACTTAAAGGTGACAGAATTATTCTGACACCTAGAACAAACTACCTAACCCCCCCTCCAAAAAGATCATTCCCAAAGTGGGAAATTATTGAGAGATAAGTTGCTAACATAAATAACAAACAGAGTCTTAGATTAATTACCCAATCAACAAAGAAGAGTGCATTCTAAGAACATATTTGAAAAATACTGAAGTTGCTTTATAATATGGCAACAATATTCATGGTGACAAAGATAATATAAGGGCTGCGGTGGTAACTTGGTGGTACATTGTATGCTTGCCATGTGTGAGATCCTGGGTTCCATCTCCAATGCCACCACAGGAAAAAGAAAGAAAGAAAATATAATTATTCACAATGTACCCCTTTGACAAAAATCAGTTAGTAGTTAGTGCCATCATTCAAAGCGTATTTAAGATCAGACACTGAACAACAACAATGACAAATTAGAAATGTTCTGAAATCTTATAATTCAAATATGACAAAAATTTGGTAGATGTTTCTCCAAACTGACTGTCATCCTAAACATTTGTGTGTGTGTGTAATGATACCAATGATGAGCTACGAAGCTCACAGATGGTTTTCTAAATTATGAATAAAAATCCAAATTCTATCAGTCATGCTATAGGAAAGACTGATTCATTTTTGTACTTTCTTGACAAGATATATTATGAAAATCTTTGTCATATGATGAGGTAATCTTCCGTTATAGACTCAAAAAGTGAAGGGAAAATTATGCAGGGCTGTCAGGAAAGTAATAAAAGTATTACAGATTTTTTTTTGTTTTGGTTTGGATTTTGTGATGCTTGTGGTATTTAAATATTTTTAAATGTATAATTTACAGGAATTTCTTTCCACATTCAAAATACTCAGAACTTAATTTTACATAAGTGATTTTGTCTTTTTCCTTGAAAAAGACTCCAAAGATATGAGTGTCAGATGCCAAAAGTAATCATTTATGAAGAGGAAAAGATCTGGGATCTATCTCTGCGTTCTCATTCCAGCTCTGGATGGATTAAACCACCGCTCAGATTTTGAAACACACATCGCACACACTAGAATACAAACAAAATTTCTAAAATGGATGAGATGAGCTACAGTGGATTTTTCACATTCTCGTTCTTTCCTAAGTAGCACAGAGATGCTGACACGCCTCTGGTTTGGTGGTGGAGTGGCGGGTCTGGGCTGGGGGTTGGAAGGTAGCTAATGTTTCCAGAATTCAGAAGCCCTCTGAGGGTTTGGAAAGTAAAAAGTAAAGGAGAATCACTGCTTCTCTCAGTCTGTTTGGGTTGAAGTAATAAAATACGATAAAACCAAGTGGCCACTTAGTATTAGCCACTGTGTATTTATCACAGTTCTGGGGCCTGGAAAGTCAAAGGTCAAGTGGCCAGCAGATTCAGGGTCCAGCGAGGGCCCACTTCCTTGTTTCTAGGTGACCTCACACCAAAAGTGGAGTTCCTTTTAAGAGTTTTTCTGAAATTAAATGAAGCTGTAAGAATTAAATGGTGAGGGCCATTTTAAAGAGTAAATGTGCTTAATAATAGATGTTCTGTAAATGTTAGCTTCCTTCTGAAATATATAGAGCAGGGTATCCATTTAGGCAAAGAATGTAAATTTGTTCTGGTCATAAATGCCAATGTGTTTTTATCTTCCAAGGCCCGTGAATGTGCACGGACTATTTGGGTTATGTTTCGCTTTTTTTTGGCCTCACTCTACAGCTAATGCTAAACAGGACAATGACATATACGTGCAATTTACAAAAGGAGGAACAAGAGTGTCTGGCAGCACAGCAAAAAGTGTTCGACATGGTTGGTCATCAAACACAGCGTAAGCCGTCGGGGAAACGTTTCATTCTCAGGCTGGCAAAGATCACTCTCTGTGGGTGAGAGGGAAAGAAGAGGGTATGTCCACAACAGGACGCATAGAATTCAAATTGGTGCACTGTTTTAGAGACCACTTTAAAAGTAGCCCTTCCCCTGCCCCCCAAAAAACATATAAAAATATTTGTCCTGCATTTAAAAGCTAAACACATGTCTACTCTGTGACCTACTAATTCTAATTCTAGTCAGTATCCACCCTGTGATCTTAAACTTGATATGAATAGAGCCTCAGTGTCTTTTTCTGTTTCTGACTTCTTAATGTCGGTGGGATTTGTCCCACTGTTGTGCTCAGTAGTAGCCCATTCTTCTCGTTGCTGTGGTGTGTTCCACTTTTAATAGACTATTCTAATTAATTTTATTTTAAAAGACATTTAGGCTATTATGAATGAAGCTGCCATCAATATTCTTAAACATATCTTCTAGAGTTCATATGCTTATAGAAAGAGCAAGTCAACCAAATGACATTAATATTTAATGATGTATTTGGTTAAAAT